GTCCCTGATTATCCGAAATAACGTCCCCTAATGAGAATAAGAAGAAGAAGAACGTTCCCTAATAAGGTTGCCATAAAGTTAGCAAAAAGAGGTGGCTTGACTCACCGCGCGAAAGGCTGACTTAAAGCCACCGGCCACCATTGCCGATTGTACTCGTAGGTTTTCATGAGTATCGTGGCCACCAGCCGTTCCACCACAAGGCAAAACATCAAGCCGTTGATATAGAAATAACAGAAATAATAGAAGGCAATGGCCGATGTAGACGATCTCCTCGGATACGCCGCTCATCACCAAAATTGTGCCGATGATGGCAAACACGTTGCTCAGATTGTAGCTGAGCAGCACCAGAAAGAGCAGAAGGCTGAAAAGGGGAGGATTATCTTCAGCAATGAGGTGGTCATGCCGACCCTACTGACACCAATCGCTAGGAAATTGAAAAAAAAACGATATTTACAAGAGTACTCTCGACCTAAGTTCCTTTTTATCATGTTCATTTCTACATTTGTATTTAAAAACCCATAGAAATTTCCTTTTCGGCCATTTCTGAACGGTTATAGGCAGAATTATGGCAGGCAAATCTATAAATTACGAGGGGCTCTTGTATCTCAATCGATCAATCTCCATTCTGGATGCGCCACGCACTCTACTTCCATCTGGAATCGTAGGACATTTGAATGTGGATTGGCCTTCACAATTACCTGCGAGGGCCAATCTTATGTGAAAATCAGTGTTTTGTACTCCTTAACGGGCCCGGTAACAACTAGGCGGTCCGATGGTCAGAGGCTTGGGTAACCCGCGCAAGGTATGGTACAAGATTTCAACCCAAGTCAGTGAGCGTGGTAGCTGGCGCCACCTACCGCTACACTACCTCGCCCCACTCACAAAATTTGTCGAGACAGCCGATTCAACCCCTGCTAACTAGGTCATCTCAATGTTATAAACAGGTAACCGTGACTTCTAGGTATGCAGTTTTTGAACGAATTCCGGGTGTTTATAGCCCAGCAATGGACTACGCCTGGCTTGTGTTGGGCTAAACAGGGATCACGCATGCTATCCACAACATGTCTATTCGTCTGGAACAAATTTTGACTCGACACGGATGGATGGTTAAATCGGTTTATTTGGGTAAATTGGATTTCTCGGCTGGTTGTTTGTTGTTTTCGAAGTCACTTAGTGTTTTATGATCTTAATTGATGTTTTTACTACTGTAGCAAGAGAAGAGAGATCTAAAATCAGCCCCTCTCCCACTCTTCTTCCGTTCCTCAAACTCGGTCGAGGGCGAGCGTCGGGTGATACCGGCCCTTTTGTGCACGAGTTGTTGGCCACTGAAGCAATATCTCTTCGAATTTGCGCAGGATGTTGGGAACAGCAGATATAGTTCTTCAGAAGGCGGAAGGTTTGCGCTTTCTAAAAGTATGTTCAGCTTCCTTCTACATTTCTAGTTGAGGAGATATTTGCGTCGAGGATCTATCGAGGATGATTCTCGGCCGCTCAAAAAGCCGCTCCTTCACCATTGCAAGTGTAATTCGTTGGCAACGCTCGAAATGTGTCTAGAATACATTCTTCCAACATAAGCAATAAGAAAAGGGGCAATCGTCACCATCCGATTTTGTCTGGGTATAGGCCATGCACTCGAAGCTTGCAGAATCGATTGGAAGGTGTTATTATGGATCATGAACCAGTTGACAAAAGCTGCATTGTAGCAAACACAGTTTCGTAACTATTACGGTTGTCCCATAATTAGTGAATCACTTTGGGTGTTTTTGGATTCGACCTTTTTTCTCTTTTATCAAAGTCTTGCTCATCCAAACATACAACTCTGTCATCTACAACGCATTGTCTGTTTCTGGGAATTTATTCGCTGTCTCTCTCTGAAATTGCAGGAGCTCTTGAACGAAGAAAGACCGGAAGTCGGGTTCGAGGTCATGTCACTTTGCGCAAAATTTCTTCCTGGGGAAGAGGGCTAGAGCTCAGACTGGGTTGTCTTTTGTTGGCACGAGGTTAGGGCTACACGGCGGAGGTGGAAGAACTGTTAGCCTGGAGTCTCCAACTTTTTTATGAATATTCTCTGCAAGGTGGGGTCGAACGACCTCAGGAAAAAAGCAGACTTTGTCTTGCTTTACTTTCAAATCGAACGCGTCGCCATAACGCTGTCGATGTTGACCTTCTTCAGTGACCCTAGTATTACTAGGGCGGCGGTTTTCGTCAGAACTCTCCAAATGTTTTAAGCTAAGCTTGTTTCTCTGTGAATTTTGCGTAACACACTCCACCAGTCCACAATCCTGACTATAATAAAAAAAGCCAACCCTCTCGATAGAGTGAACTATAAGCAGACCGTGGAGTGAGGGAGCGTGCCCTTGCCTATCTGCTGGTCGATTCTCTATATTGTTGGGCGTTTGAAAGATCTTAATCAGAAGTGATTAAGAAGGGAGCTCAAAAATAGGTTCCAGAAAAATTGAAATATCAGCCACGGAAGGCAGCATGGAAATGGGCTGAGTAATTGCTCAGGTAGGATAATGTGGGATGCTACTTCGCAAAACATGTTTCACGCCTTCACCATTTTTCTTGGATTTTTAATAACAATAAATGTAAAGTGATTCACTAATTATGGGACAACCTAATAATATAACTTCGAAAAGCATACATTATTTTGCCCAGTGCGTCGTTCATTCTCAACGAAAGGTATTAAGGGAGAAGGAGCGAGCGATAGATGGAGGAGGTGCCTTTGCAGCGCGTGCGCACATGTGGCACTCCTTTGCGGGGATGCACTTTCATTCTTTGTACTGCCTTCAAATACGCCCTTCTCATGAAGGTGAGGAATGGAGCGACTGAACCTGCAAAGAAAATTTAATATCATGTTTTTTCAGATATTTTCATTTTCTGCTGCGCTATACCCTCCTTAACTTCCTATCTTCGTTACGATGCCACTGATGATACTGAGCCTCACGAGTACGGCTCCCCATGACCGCAGCCTGACAAGTACGACCCCCCTCGTCGAGGATTTCCTCGACCATATTTACCCTGCTCTGAAGGCGTCATTCTGACTTGGTCACAAGGCTCTCTGTCAACCAATTGAGGAGAATGTATGAGGAAAGCACTTCACTGGTGTGAAGTTAGAGCTAAGCCTGTCAAAGCGGAATCAAAACAGTATGCATGCGTAGCGTCATGTTGAGATAGCCCAAATAGCACTACGAAACGCTGAATAAACCCTAACTGACGTTGTTGACGAATGTGCTGAGATTTCTCAACTACTAGGATGTCACATACATAGCTGAGAATCGCTTTGTCTATTTCTTGATTTTCTTTTTTTGTTGTTTATCTCAATTGCTTGCTCGACATACATGCACCGCTATCATCTACAAAATATTGACCCACGATGGGGAGAATCGCCGTCTTCCTCTGATATTCCATGGTCCTGATCGAAGAAAGATGAGACGGCGGTTTTGAGACCATGCCACTATCGTCTTGAAATTTCTTTTTGGGAAGGAACTCAGAGTAAGTGATCGTTCGTTGGCGCGAGGTTGGGGCTACTGGGCGCAGCTGAAGGAACTGTCAGCCTGAAAATCTCCAATTTTTTCTATGAATTGTTGCAAGGTAGGGTCGAGGGACCTCAGAGAAAAACAGACTTTGTTCTGCTTTGTTTTAAAATTGTCACCATCAAGCTGTTGAGGTTTGTCTTCATCACTGACCCAGGTACATATTATCGGGTGTCGGTTCCCAGCCCAAATGCCCTCTTGTGTTCGCTTGGTACTCTACTTTTTCAGTTGCGGGTGTGCTTCTGAGAACGGATAGAACTTCGTATAGTACTTGCCACTCACGCTCCTTAAAGCAACAGTCCAGGGAGGGTTTCAACTAATCCAAAGCTGAGGTGTGGAAGCATGCCCCAGCCCAAGTGAAGTCGAAAGGAACTGTCACTGAAGTAAAAACTCACCTCTGAAATGCGTGAGAAGGGCTCGAAGTTCGTCGAAAAGGGCGGGTCAACCGAGCCTCGGTTGACCCGCCTCCTTGCTGCTGTGAAGAGCGCTTGCTCGAATAGCGGTCGTTGCGGGACCGCCGCGCTGTATCAGGTCGATTCCATGAGAGCGCAACTTAAAGCGCTTCAATTTCGATTGCTGGCAAATAGTTATGTATTTGCAAGCATGCATGGCTATTTGCCAGCAGAGCAATTGGAGCGCATGTACTACGGGCAGGTTCGGACAACTCGTCCAACACACGTCTCCCTAAACGGCAGGGGGAGTCCCTGTCTAAGCCCCTGCCCGACGTTTTTTTCTACTTTTTCTTTCTCCATTGACCAACTTCTCACCTGCAACGTCATTATAGGTGGTCCTTACCCGCGAATTCGTTCCTGGATTGTTGCTTTAAGCTTCCAATTTTATAATTTAAGGAGAAAGACGTCAAAGAAAAAACTACCACCTCTTTAGTACGGCAGCTGTCACCCTTGAAAAAATGTTGTTAGTAAGCAACTCTGTATAGTGATGATTTCTATTATCTTTGGTGTAGTACATACAATGATTGTTAGGATTACTTCGTCTGGCGATTTCTCAAAATTTTTATTGACATAGTTGAATACAGTTCGTAAAATGCAGGGCGCATTGCGGCAGGTAGAGCATTTGAGTAATTTCAGAGAGACAGACGAATAGTCGACTGAAGAACGGTTCAATTGAACGAGTGGACGGATGGGGAGCTCAGTGGAATTACGTCGGTCCAGCCGGTCTCATCAAATTGTGGGGATATTCTCCTTTCGTCTTCGGTGAAAACAACAAATTTGACCTGAAAAATTGTTTCTTCGATGTCTGCGATCTTCTTGACCAAACTATCACCTTGGTGAAATCGTCGAAACAC